GCACGTGGATCACCATCTGGAAGTCTACATTTTGTATACACAACCCAGGCTAACAAACACAGAGACGTTATGAAACGATAGTATGTTTTAGTCTGGTCGTCGTTAACCTATCTCCAGGCTGAACATATATCAGTTAATATTGGAGATGGTGACTAGACATGTCTAAGGGATTTGAGTCGATTCAGGTTTACAACCTCATGCGTTGACTTGTACGTAAAAATCTACGTTTGACTGAAGTATCCTGCAGATAAACTGCGTATGCCGAGCCACCACCTACCTCGACATGCCGTGCTAAAAGAAGTTTGATTAGGTTGGTTAAGAAGTCAGTGTGGCCAGACCAAGAGGTGGCACCAGTCCATGAAGTCCCTGACTGTTGGTTTGAACCGTGTACCGAGGTGCAGACTACCTGGATGAGGTCCTCGGGACGAAAAGAATCAATCATTGGCTGAGAAATCTTGGCAACATGGCTTAAAATCGGGTACAAAGACACAGATGTATTCACTTTTTGCCGCCTTCAAAGCTTAAATATTTGCAATAACCTTCAATGTCAAGTCCCTGCTCCTCGCATACATCCTTGTCTACTTCGATTTCAGTCTTTTTCTATCCACTTGTTTTTTGTATACTGCTGTGAAGTATGGCAACTTGTGGTGTTGCATTTGTGTGCAAGGTTCTACGTTGATCTCATCTGTCTGATAAAACAAAACGCAGTATGTGCTACCAGGGTAGTCATGATCGAATGCCTGAAGCCTTCTGACTTAAATGGTCATATTGCAAAACCATATAGTGGGACGGAGCTAAAACTAACACAGTATATTAAACCCTTAGTCCGCTTTCGAATGTCTCCTCGATATCATGAATGAAGTTAGTTGCCAAATTCACTCTGGCCTTCTGTATCCGTCCAGAAGTTTAGCCGATTTCTAACTGATCACCCTGACAACAACTTAATAACCAATTAGTTTTGTGTATTCCAGTTGGGAATGCAGATTTTCATAAAATAAAGAAATTCGATTGGTTATTTTAGCTGTTGCTAGGGTGACTCGAAATAACCAATCAGATCTCGAGAGACTTTAAAGGTCACCCTTTGCTATATTCCCAGTAGTCGAAGAGGAATGATGTAACTAAGGTGTACAGTTTTTTTGGTTTAATCCACTAGGAGGTCGATCTCAACAAAGAACTGTGCTTCATCAGGCTTTCATGTTTATTGATACTGTTCAGCAAAGGTATCTAAAGTCTCAAAGGAAATTCATTTACTCTTAGATATTCGAACGATCAGTGATGTGGTTAGAAGATGCACAACGAAGGTATTGAGGCGATTTGATTCTAGTTACATCTTGTGGCATTGGAAGATAAGTTGTTCTATTAACCCTTCATCTGTTATGCACCAATTTTTGATAGATCATTTCCGTCGAACTTTTCTAGAACAAGTTGTAATGTTCACTACGATCCGTATCCTATATTATGCTAATGGATGGAAGATCACAGTTCTGTTTTCATGAAGAGTTGGCTAACAATTACTCATCAATTGAATGCTTGCGTATGTCAGTGACATGATTCCCTTACTGAGACTTGCTTTCAAAGTGTGTTGTTAGCCACGAAAGTATCCGATTATGTAGTGGGTGTTTTTCTTTTGTCATTTGCATTCGATATTAACTTAACCTGTGTAATCTACCCTTTTGAAGCAATGTATCATTGGGTATAGCATCACTTGCTTGGGGTATTATTGTTCCTAGTTAGTTGGAGGCAATTGGCAGGAATTCATAGACCTAAGTTCCGGCTTGTTGGGTCTTGTAAACAAGGCAAACCTACAACCTCAACGGAATTGATGTCCTGCTATAAATTTGAACTCGCTTCATCCAGTTATGAAGTCAGTGATGTAACCGGTGAGCTATTCGCTGCTTGAAGCAAGCATGAAACTTAGGTCGAAGCCTTCCTGCCCTAACCCGTTAGCAGAAATCAGTTAGTGGCATTTAGTAAATTGTTATTAACCGTCAAGATCTTCGCAGAATGCATGTAATGTGCATGTATATATATAGGCAAGCACAGAGTAAATTAAGGCGATTATACGCTTTTCTTTTACTTCTGAACTAACAATTTTAGGTCAATAAAGTAAATGAACATTGATATGAATGGATGGGAAGAGTAGTGCTTTCATTGAAAGCTCTAAATTATTCTACTTCACATTAACGGACATGTATAATATAGACTGACTATGCACGGCCTATCTTTTCACTCATTTCCTAAGTTTTGTTGCAATGGTTTGATAGAAGCACATACACATATATGTATGTATAAACACATAGATGTTGAGAACCAGTAGCAAGCTTGCTTAATTCGTTCAGACTGTGTTATAGTGAGTGAGTAGGTAGGTTGGGAAGCAGGTAGGTTTTAAAATCCTGAGGATTTTGTTGATACATTCAATCAGGCGCTCAAATAACAAACCTATCTATGTGTGTGTGTGTGTGTGATAGATAAATTTGAAGGGAGAAAATTCAATCAATGAACTTTTCATATAACTAAAATAGTGAAAAACAGAGAGAGAGAGAGAGAGCGAGGCAGAGAAACTGGCATTCCCTTGTTAGGGAAATAGAAGAAGAAATTGTTCTCTGCTTCCTCCCATTTCGGTTGAGATCGATTCGTGCTATTCACGTGGTTTGGCGTGGCGTTGTGTTCTCCTATAGCAGTTGTAGTATATTACGCTCTGCCCAGTTATTTAATAATGATACTAACTAACTAACTAAACATTAACCAATCACTATTGTGTTAAAAATGAGCTTAAATGAAAAGTAGTAGTCGTAGTGAGACTATGTTTGTTAACCATGGATGATGGGTGTGCCTTACCTTCCAAACTCATCTCCTATTGATAATCATATTTTATTTGAATGGATGCGTAGACTTTGGTTTATACACCGGTGCCATACTCATAGACACACATACACATAAAAATTGATTCACAATAATTCCATATAATTTTTTATGTATGAGAAGAGAATAGGCTTAGAAAATTTACTGACTTCGGCTAGTATTGGAAAGAAGTCAACTTGAAAACGAATCACTATTCATCAAAATAGCACCATATAATTATTAAGGATACTCACTTTATATAACGAATTGATAGAGGTCGGAAAACTGTGAACCGTCGAACCCCGACTCAGTGAGTGAGAATGGTTAACGCGTTCGCTGTGAAGCCTGAAGGTTCGATCTCCAGCGTGGTGGTGAATGCGTGCTGCTGCTGAATCTCATAACTCGATTGCTTTCAGTGGTTCCCCACCTAATATCAGTCCATGATGATAAACACAACATTAACAATAAAATCCTTATAAACTTCAATCTATGTTACTGAAATTGTTGTGAGAAGATTTTCTTGTATTCGGTTTAATGTGCTGAGAAAAGAAAATTTTAAAATACAAAGTTGAATTATATTGATTTGGTGATTAGCAGAGGAATTAAGGACGCGCGTTTCGTCCTATTTGAGACCTGTCAACTGGATGTACACCTGCACTCCAGTCAGTGATATTGTTCCCACTAAGGCTCGAATCCAATATCCTTGACTTCAAACACCGCGCGTTATTCACTAAACCACTGGGGCACGATAACCACCTGTTGTGCAACGGGTATCATTTGTTGTAATGATACTTGTAAATTCTCGTTGCTATACAGGGTTGAATTGCTCGATTTCTGTTTGAAGCGAAGGGTACTGGGTTTGAGCCTCCGTGGAACAGCATCACTCACTAAGGTGCAGATACATCTATCTGACGAGTCCCAAATAGGGACGATCAGTCAGGTAAAACTTTTGGGGATTGAAGTAAGATAAAAATCTGGTCAATAGTCGGGTCTCGTAGTACAGTTGGTCGCTGGTTCGAATCTGACCGCGGTCCAAACTTTCATTTCACCTTCAGTCATCACCCAATATCAAGACAAAAAGTAAAAGCATACATAGTTGTGCATCGAGCTGTGATTTAATACAGTAAAGCCATGTCTAATCATCGTCTACACCGATTCACAATGATAGATCAAGTTGGGTTAAGCTGGAGATAACTTAAAAACGGTCAAACTTAGACATGCCATCAGTTCACTTAGTCTCTGACTGATTGGTCTGATTTGCATAGGAAAATGTATGCTTCCAGATTATATCCTGTACAATAGATAAAGCCAGGGTTTGAGACTCGAACTGATCTCAGTAGAGGGCATGCATCCACAAATTATCTTCAACACAGTCTTCTTTCGTATGACTTCTAGTTACAGAATTTCCATTGCTCTATGTTTCATCTTGCTACATTGTATCTTGATATACTGATGCTAGATGTGTTCTAAATTTCACACCCTTTATGAAGAAGTGGAAAACAATTACTTTCTACGAAGCTGTCAAAGTTTCGACAGAATTTGGTCCAAACTTAATGCATCAAAAAATTATCTATCTTATTGGCAGAGGCATTATTGTACTTGTAATGGCTGGATTCAGGTTTAAAACAAATTTATTCAACTGTTATTCACATTAAGTATCATTCCAGTAGACTTCGAAAGACTTAATTAGTTCACTGTGTTAAATCTATCGCAATCATGCCTTTACACATTACGTTACGTAATATTACTACTAATAGTAGAAATAGGGCTTGTTATTATGTTTATTTGCTTGTATAACGGTGTGTGTAACACAGTGAATCCCTCTACATATGAAGCAAAGAGATAGGAACAACGAAGAGTTGCACTACACATACCTTCTCTGTCATCACTTTCAAATCACTCCACTTCATTACAAGATTCTTTTCTGGTGTTTAGAAGTCTTTCTGAATACCTTTAGTCTATTATGAATGTGGTAGGTATATTCAGATTCAATGTTTTACCGATACCTTCATCAAAATCTTGTGTATTAAAAATGTTTTTTGATTGGCCATGAATATCAAGATCTAGTACTTGTGAATAATCACACCTCCAAGAATTTAATCATATCTTGACATTATTATTATTATGCAATAGAATATTATCTTCTTTCTACATATCAGGTACACAAGTTCAATATCTGAAAACTAAACATCATTTATATGTGATGAATGATGGTCGTATCAATATGTGTGCATTAACTACAGACAATATTGATCGTATTGCCGAAGGTATACATGATGCTGTGTGTAATGTAACTGAATAATTTATTGAATGAAAAAGATAATTAAATTGTTAGGTGACATTTTAGCATTGTTATTCCATTCGTATCAACTTTATTTCCTTTTTATCTTTGAGTATACATATATCCAGTGAGATTTTATTCTACTAACCTGTTCTTTTTTCATTCTACTTCATTTTTTTGTTTGTGTCTCATTAACACTGATTAAGTAAGTATCATAACTTTCAATTTTGATTGGTACCCTTTTCGATGGTAGCTCCCTCCTTTTTTTTCAGTATCCCGTTAAGCACCACCACCTATTTATTATATAACTATTTTTTCATATGGTCAGTATACATTTGTAGCATCTATTCTTATTCTTATTGGTATTATTAAAATTTTGATGGTCTGTTTACCTTTAGTATTCATACATTTGCAAGAGTTCTTATCTTTCAATGTACAGGTGAATAGTTAGTTCTTTAGGAGAGGATGGAGTATTCACCAGTTTTTAAAAAATGTCAATTATACATCTGTTGGATCAACCATCTTATATGCTTGCCTCCTTGCGTTTTCTTGTATGTCATTACTATCCTAGGTAGCAAACAACAGAAATAATAGTAGAATTTGAAGTAATATTGTAGGGGTTAATTGAATTCGAGAGACAAGAGTGTCTGTTCATTGTGGTCCCTAGAAAAGCTAAACTTGTATTTAGTTATAATACGTTCTATTCTGTAATGAAGCGATTATAGGTTTTTGATCATAGTTGTTTTCATAGCATTGCTTGCGTTCGGTGGTGTGCTATGCTAGAGGAAGTTGGATTAGGTTGGAAAAAGGTTCAGGGTGGCTAGACCATTTTATAGAGTCCCTGACTGTTGATATGAGTCGTGTGCAGAGTTGTAGGCTGCCTGGCTAAGGTCACTGAGACGATAGAAATCAGTGGTTGTATATTTTACTGATGGCGTAAATATACCTTCTGTTCTATTACCATTTTTTTCCCATTTACGGAGAAAATGAGTGATCATTAAGGGTGGAATTTCAAAGTTCTATCAGATAGCTGTAAATATATAAAAAGTGGTGACTGAAGTTATAAAACATAGCTGAAAATCGGTCACAATGACGTAGATGTACTGTGAAGTGTGATAACCTGTGTGCAAGGATCTACATCGATTTTGTCAGTAAGTCAATCAGTTCTGGACTAATAGAAAGTCATGCATTCTTTCCTATTAAAAACTGTAGATATATTATGAATCATGCCGGTTAACTTGACTTCTTAAGATGATTGTTCATAGAAGTATGTCTTTATTCATATTTTACAAGAAACGCATTTACTTTTTGACCACTACTACTGAGCAATTAGACCGGTTGATTCCAGGGGTATGATTGAAGTTGAAGTGAAAAAACTGGGTGGTAGTAGGATTACTGATCTGGCGCTCTACCAGTTCAGCTTCCAGACCTACCTTTTAACCAACTTTAAACCTTAATACAATGAAACTATCAGACAGTCGGTATGGAAATGAATCATTAGTGCTTAGTGGTTCAAGTTACGACACCAGTATATCGAGATACAACATAGCTAGATGTAACATGGAGAAATGGAGAAAAAAGTGGTCAGAAGTCGTCGAAAGTCACAAGGAGGAAGGGAGAAGGGGGGGGGCAAAGGAAACAAAATAATGTGATATGTGGATGCATGTGCTCCATTGAGGTGGATTCCGGATCGTATTGTACCTGGTCTTCAGCCACCGGTTTCGGTTGTTGCACGATACACAGCCTAGAAGCCTACATTTCCTTACGCTACTCAGACCAACCAGTTAGAGACTGAGTTAACTGGTCCCTCATCTAAGTTTGGCTGCCTTTAACCTGTTTTCAGCCCTAACTTACTACATCTAACGTTGTATTTCGGGGGTAGACAGTAATTACGCACGCACAACTCATATGTTTCAGGCACCAGAATCAATGGAAGTATCAATCTTCATTTTCACCATTGGTTATAACTAATGGTTGACTGGATGCATAAGTAATATCCAGCAGCCTGTAATCCTATTTTCACCATAACCCTTGTTGTTATACAAAGTTAAGAGCTCAAAAGGGCTTGATGGAAAACATGTTCCAGATGCAGTACGTTCAGTGAGGCATCATTATGGTATGATCTTGTTCAAACTTGGCATACAAGTTATCTGCTGTATAACAAATATATTACTAACTAAAACCCTTTTCCAGCCAACTGTCTTGAGGGTCTAACAACAAATTTAGGTAGCGTCTTTCACTCCTCCCACGTCCGCACATAAGCTCACAATTTTGGACATTTACCTCATTTATACTGGGTGATGATGAATGTCAAATAAAAATTTGGATTGCTGCCGGATTCGGACCAGTGGCCATCAGGTTTCCGGGCTGATGCTCTGCCAACTGAACTACGGGGTCCGACTGCTGACCAGATTAATATTTCGCTTCAACCACCAAGCGTTTTGCCCGACTACCTCATTCATAATCCTGATCAAGTTCAAGATTTTTCAAGTGTAACACTACTCATCGACAGGATATTTCAATTCCTAAGAATTACAACTCAAATACATACGCAGAAAATGGGTGTCGACATATGTATGTTACTGAGTAGCAATCATTAGCACACACTATAGCTCAGTCTCCTTCGGTTAAGGTATTCAGTGTGATAAACCTCAAGGAACAAAGAGCTGGCACGTCATGCAATTTCTTCGGCATTGTTACGTAGGATTCTTGTAAAGTGTACCCATCATCACTGTTTTGAACGTTCAGAAGTTAGATGGAACATACCATCCTCTTTATTGGTCTACTGAATACAATTTCTGTCAACACAAATCAAAGTGAAATCTTGTACAGACTCACACCGGTTCATGATATCACAATAAAAAAAATCAGCTGAAATATGAAATTGATTATACAAATCTGGCATCAAGTAGGATAAATTGTGGCATTAGTAAACAAAGTCTGAGCTATGTTACTGTCACTTTGAACTGGAGTTTGGTGAATACACACTTTGACTGGGAGCTGTCCTTCTATGTGAACGAAATGACTGTGATTTTGACGTAGATAGATGCTAAAAAGTATGACGTCTCATACCAATGTACTGGTTCAGTTTGCACACACTCCACAAGACTACAGGGGGAAAGTAGTAGGGGACAACTTCTGGTCTGGTTTCTCAATTTAGCATAGATTGATATGTTTGGATACCCAGCCTTAAGGTTACAGAAATAGCAGTAGCTGTGGCAGATCAACTTCTAACAAGTAATTTGATAAAATGAACAGAAGTTATATAAATGAGTCAATAACTATCGTTGGACGATACTCAAAATGAACAGTGAATATATCTTCAGTGTAAATGATCGTGAGAAATGCTACTTAAAGGATCCTAACCAGGCAGACTGTATAGTCTTGTGCAGTTCAAGCAGACATTAAAATACTTCATAACTCGTTATGTCTTAGTGACTTCATCGTCCCAGTCTTACTCTAGTTGGCATCGCATTTTAAGATGAATGTTGGGATAACACATATGTCTGCCCTCTTTTTCTATATAGATTCTCTAGAACTCCCAAGCTTTAGTATTGTCTATTCATTTTCTTTTTCTAATATAAGCAGTGCTTTGAAGAAATTCATGATGTTATATCCGTAGCCTACCTTACACTTCCAAAGACCATAGCTATAAAGCAGAATACAATGGAAGTGAGGATGGTAAGTATACCGTCTAATGAGTAGCCAGATATCTCATCAGTCCTTTGCACCATATAATAGGGCAAATATAACAAATCATCTGTTTCGTAATAATACTGAGATTATGTTAGCAACTACTACTTCACGGCTGAAGCAGTTGTTGAAACGAGTGAACTTGTCATCACATTCAATCTCTTTACTCCCTACCACTGAATTAAGTATAGTAATGCTAACTTGTGACTAATTCCTTTGTTTAAAAGTAAACGGTTTCTATCTGGGGGATGCTGCTACTCAAAATAATTAATATAAACATTATCTTTATCAAATATACTTTCCGAAATGAGTGTGCTGGTGCTTTACACTATTTTCTACTACATATTGCAATTTTAGCCTCTCCGGAAGTTCAAACCATCATTATATGAACATTGGATATGCCGTTTCTATGTAACTCGCTAACCTCAGCTTTAAAACCTATATAAAACATTTTAAGCATTTCCAAACACAACAGATCACTTTATACACTATGTATCTAATTGGTCAATATGAATGACACCTTGTTCACATAGTTTAGGAGCTAAGCATGTCTTACTAAGTACGATTTATTCTGACCGTAAAAAGTCGGGTTTAAAACGCTTCGGTGCGAACACTTCTGCTCTACACCTGTGAAACCTGGCCTCTTCCAGCTGGGGATCCGCGACGACTGTATGCTCGGTCATAGTTGTCTCCATAGAGTTGCTTGTATTCGGTGGTAACACCATGTAAGTAATTCTGAGGTACGACAACATGTGTTCGGGGATGATGGAGAGCATCACTGAATAAGTGAAGTCATCAACGTGTTACGCATGTCGTCCCAACGGGTTCCATACCGTTCGCTGTTTACCAACCTTGGGACTGGATGGCAGAAGTGGAGGGGTGGCCAGTGTTTGACGCGGCGCTGTGAGACGAAGGATAGTTGTATCGGATTAGCATCTGTTGGTGCATAGCAACTCCCTGCGTAGGGGGTGGAGTCCGAGGAATCACGCAACTCAGTGGCTCGAGACGTTATCAGATCTGGCTAAGAATCGAAACCAGTGGCGGTCATGCTGTAGCTTCCTTCTATCTTCTGTTACTGAAAAGTAATGAATGTTTTGTTTTGAATGTAGCTAACTGGACTACCCTTCTGTACCATAGTAAATGCTTCCTGCCTTGCATCAACGTTAACGGAACTCAGAAACATATCAATGTAAATAATAATGAGCAAGCTTCTATTACAATACTCAATATTTCTTGATCAACTGATGTAACATCTAGAGAAGTAGGTTTCAACCACTAAGGATGGTTCATTAATCCACCGGTATCCTTTTAATCTCTCCAACCAGAGGTTTCTGTTGTCACGTGCACCCCAGCCGAGAAGTCTATATTTCCCTACATGGCTCGGATCACCGGTCAAAGACTGCATGCAGTGACGCAGTCTGACCGCCTTGAACCTTTTTTCAACCCAAGCCTTCTCCAGCTAATACTATACGATGAGGCAGGTGGTGATTAGTCATGCGTAATTCATATCCTAGCCATTTCAGTTGATGAAGGTTCACAACTGCATCGACTGACTTCCTCTCCTCGCACCAAGACACGGCCTATGCCACGAAGACAACGATGGTCAAACACGTGAAGCTATGTTTTACAGCCATACAGTAGAACAGAAAAGACTGCAATGGAGTATACTCGGCCCTTATAAGACAATTATATATCGTGGCAGCGCCGTAGGTGACGTGAGTTACAGAAAGTCAGTCGAGCTTTTTGTCATGGTGCAGAGATTTTGTCGGCCACTGACCTATCAGGGTTGATCCGACTTCCCAGGAAAGTGAAATGTTAAACACACTTAACCACTTCGCTCCCAGTTGCTGGACGAGGGGACCACTAAAGACCAGTCCTGGAGCAACCATTTGCATCCGGGTGGTGAGAAACCCACCTCATACATTCCTAAATTGTCACTCAAGATGTTCAGAAGTCTCTACATGTTGTCAGAGTTTTCGACTAACGGGAGTGTATACTCTTCGTACTCTAGATCTACCAAGGATTCTCCTGTGATAAGATCAATTCTCTGTGAAGTCAGATGATGACAGAAAGGCCTCCATAAGGACGTCTATGATTAAGTTGAATAAAAATAGAGGGAGTTGAAAACCTTGATGGACAACACTCGACGTACACAACTCATTTGAAAACTCACCATATGCCCTAAGATGCCCACGGGTGTTTCAATGTACAGCCTTCAACAGAGCTGGGTAATTATCTAGCACCCAATTCAACAAGAGACCATCACAAGACCTCTCAATCGACGGATTCAAACATCGCCCTCACGTCGAAGAATACAGCCAGGGTCGGTAAGTATGCCTGTGTTACAGAACTTGGCGGTGTGAATATCTAGTCGGTACACCCACGTTCAGATAAAAAGCCTGCCTGGTTTCCTTAGGTTCGTTGTTCCCAAGCCCCACCCAGATATCTAGTGATTATAGAACCTAAAAGCTTAGGACATAATATTCGTCAGTTTGATTCCTTTGTGGTAACCACAAGAAGACCTCTCATCCTTATTTTGGACCAGGACAACCAGTGATTGAGACCAGTTAGGTTGGATCATATCTGACTCCCACACACTAGTTAACACTTCAGTTAACTTGACCAACAGTCCTGTGCTACTCTCCTGTAGAACTAGTCTGTCAGGCCGTGCTGCTGCTCTTCGGTTCAGGTTACCTACAGCTTTCTCGACCTCTGTAAGTGTCGTGAGTCCTATCTCGGTGTTCCATTTAAGATCTAACCAGATAGTGGGCAATGTAGGAGTAGCTGGCTGCCAGGTGAACTGTTCCACGAAGATGATGTAGGAATAACAACCGAGAAACCTGAAGGGAGATTAAGGGTTAAGGATGCAAACGGTGAACACATACTTGAATGCTAGCAAAGTTGTGGGAGTGGTTGACACTTTCCAGCTGCCAATATCATGGAGGGCAATTTCTTCTTGAGGCACCTGAAGAAGAAGGATTGGTGCATGACTGCAGAGCCCAAGGGATATCTGCTTAAGACCGGTAACACACATTGTTTCTAGAAGTTTGAGATTTAAGTTTGTTAGTTTTGAATCTAATTATGAACCCAGGTTGCCGGCACCGGCATGACACGGGTTAGAACAGAGTATGCTGTTTCGAGGGCTGATCTTTCTAAACCCCGTCCGTTTCCATAAAGAAGGCAGTATCAGCATGGCACCACTGGTTATCCAGGAGAAACCCCTAACTACTGTAACACCCCATACCATCCAGTAGCACGACTTCGCCATCGGAACCTCACCGTAGAGTAGAAATTTAAACTATAATGGCAACTGCTTTTTGTCGAACTATTGTCCAACCGACCTTTCTACTATGGTAGGAACAAGTATTTCACCAGTATAGATCGTTGGATCATTATGATATGCAGGCCTGACCACCATGTCAAGGTAGTAGCTATTGGTCAGGCATAAGTAAAACCTGGTAGTCCTTTAATCAGGATCTATAATTAGCATAAAATTGGTTCGCTTCCACAATGACACATGACGACAAGCATGATATAACATTTTGGGAAGAAAGTGTAAATAAGAGTAAGAACAACATAGTTCGAAACAGAGACACCAGAAAAAGCCTTTATGCTTATTAGTTCTAACTTTATACGACTGGTTCCTTCAAGTAATAAGAATTATATTTATTCTCATGCACTAAGAACCTGCATATCGTTGTAAGAGAGCTCAAGTCAACTTTACTCGTGTTCAGTAATCCAAGAAATTCCTAAAACCTGTAAGAAGTGCAGACATAGTTTGCATGCGTCATAAAGGGGAGTCGATGTATTATCTAAACGATGGTAAACTTCAGTAGACAATTGACTAAATGACTGCCGATTAAGCACATCTATGGTAGTAGTCTAGTCGTTGCATTCAAATAGAACTTAGTGGACTGGAAAGTTGTCACCTACCTCCTTTGTCAACTCATTTGCGCTACTGGATATAGTGATGGATATACTTTTACTAACATAGACGATATGTACATAATCACATTTAACCAATTATAAAATGCCAAACCTTGGATAAGAACTCCAGTTAACAATATTATCCAATATACACCGGGCTTTTTTATTTAGTCATCAGTATGCAAATGATCATTTCATTAGACTACTCGTAATAGAAAATTCCAATTAATATCTTCAGAGTTGATAAGGAAGTAAGGTAAATGATAAGTTTAACGCATCATGTGTTCTTAAACTTGACTGACTGAAAAAAATCAGCGTAGAATCTCGCACACATGCATCGCCTCAAGTTGCTACACTTCACAATAGTATACAAGGAACAGGTTGATAGAAAAGTAGACAAAGCTGTGTGAGAGAATAACGGTTAGTGAAATATTCAAACTTTAGAATATGTCAAGGAGTGGATACATCTGCTCCGTTGTGACTGATTTTCAGCCATGCCATCAAGAGTACTCAACCACTGACTCCTTTCGTCTCGAGGACGCCATCCAGGTAGTCTCCATCTACTCACACGAACCAGTCTAACAGTAAGAGACTTCATAGACTGGTGGGACGTCTTGGTCTAACCACCCTGAACCCTTTTCCAATCTAATCTAACATCCCCTAGCATGGCACACCGAGGTGCGCAGTGGCTTGGCGTGCGCAATACTTGTCCAAGCCTCAACCTCATCAATCACACTGCTACTGTTTTTATAATGCCTAACAACTGCAAATAACGTTCGCGCAAAATCAGTAAATTATAATAATCTCATACAAATGCTTTACTGAAGGGTGAGTGCAAATGAAAAACTAGTACTGATCTCTTATCATGGCAACTTAGTAAACATAGACCTAGTGTTCGATTGAGAATACTGTTTTCAGCACTGTGAACCTACAGAGGGAACTCCGTATCCCAAAAGGTATCGCTGATTCCGCAAGCCATAAAAACTAGAAAGTGGAATCTTGTTCTAGGACCAACAACACCTAAAATGGAGATGTTGAGTGTATAAAACTAGTCAATAAAAAAAAACTGTGAATAAATACAGTCTGATTTAATATAAGGTAATACACATTAAAAGCACATCAAAATAATGAAGTCATGGTATGCAAATCACTAAAATAGGATCATTTAGGTAAGTGAAAACCACATAGTGTACATAAAACTTTTTTACTTTCAAATAAATGCAAGTTAGAGAAACAGTATGTATATCAACCGAAAACTGATGGCAGATTGAAAAGCGTTATCAATGCCTAGTTTTAAAGCTTATATTACCATCAATTATATTGCAATAGATCCAAAAGACTAGAAGTAAGAAAGCCTTTTGTCATCTGTACAACATTTTGATATGACAACAAAAGAAATACGAAAAGTAGGTTGATATCTTGCATCAAATAACTAAATATGTTTGCATTAAAGATAATAAAGAATATGTACAGCTATACAGATCATCATATTAATAAATGTTAGTAAAATATATCACCAAGTTGGGAGGAATTATAGGAAGTATTGCAATTAAAACGTGTAACTACGTAGTGGACTTAGCATTTGTAGCATCTTCTGTATTAACAATAACAACAGTAGGAATTTTAATCATTTCACAATGGTTTTCAGAAGCAGAATTTAAAGTTGTCTGAGTTTCTTTTAAGGCTGTACGACATCTACTTTTATTAAGTTGTATTTTTGAGGTTAAGCAAACACTGGTGAGAAATTCATCTGATGGTTCTTCTAGTTTACTTCTTTTTGCTTTAAATCCATCTTCTGTGTCTGAGTTTTGACTAGTATGATTTCCATCGAATGAAGGCAACTGTGAAACACTTCTCAAATCATCACTACACAGTTCATTTTCTTCAGGATTATAAGATTCACCCTCCAGTTCTGTAACAGTTGTAATACCTTCTGATTCATTCTCACTAGCATGACAACTAAAATTCGGTTCATCTGTACTGATGCATAGCTCATCTGTTTCCTTCCTAACAGATTCTGCATTCACCCCACCTTGAAGTGTTTGTGCAAGTAGTGGCAGCACGCTGGATGGTTCCATAGATATTCCCACACTTTCATCGACCGTGTCCTGTAGTCCACTATTTCTTAGTGATCCCCTGCCAGAAAGATAATGTTGTAGCGACCTAACATGCCGCTTTTTATCTTCAAGACGGATAAATTTCTCGTCACAAATCTCACACGAATACGGTTTCACACCTGTGTGAAGTCTCTCATGTCGTTCACGGCAAAATTTCCTATTAAACGTCTTCCCACAATATCGACACCGATAGAATTTGTTAATTGCATGTGATGAACAACCATCCGATGATTCTCCTGGGCTTTTCTGAAGAGGTGGGAGAGGTAGTCGGTCGCCAGTAGACCCTGAACGAGGGACGTAATCACTGTCAAGTGAAACACCATTTTTATTCACAGGAGCAAACTTCGTTGCAGTTGTTTTTTTGGTATCATTGACTCGGTGTCCACTAGCCGCATCATTACTGACAGTTTGGTATGTGCCATTACTTTCGTTTTTGCGTATTCTCAATTTGTTTTCTGATTCTCGATTTGCATTGGCATTCATGCAACCTTTGATGGTTTGCAAAATTCTATCTATAGCAGATGAAGTTGGATCAGGACTCGACGTTGGTGTTTGGTTTGTATTGGACGTTACTGTATGGTTACTTTCTGTGGTGCTGGTCAAGCTTTTATCAGTTTTACGCGATACCTGGTCAAATTGGTTGGAAGGTGGGACCATATAAGAACTAGTTGTCGCAGTAGTGGTTTCTGACATGGTGTTTGTGGTCTGAACTACAGTAGATGTAACTGGAGTATGAAATAGTACAGATGAATTCAATGTTAGACTTGTAGGCTGAGAAGTAGGTAAACCCTGAAATGATAGAGCAGTTGGAACGGCTGTAAGAGGAGCCAGCTGGGATGTTCCGAATGTGTGTGCAGACGCTGGAGTCAACAAGAGATTCATTTCTGTTCCACCACGAGGATATGAAAGCATAATAGAACCGCGAGTAGATACTGTCTGTGTAGAATTGGAGGCAGCATAGCAGACATTTGAGGCTTGGATTGAAGTAGTAATCCCACTCAAACTTGAACTTAGGGCAGATACATTAAGTGTTGACTGTGCTATTCTATTAGCCAAATTACTATTCAAAGACCCTCCTGATTCATCCAATCCAACAATATTTGTCCTTGTTGGAGCAACATTTCCAGAAGGTGGAATATTGTTTGTGATCAAAGTAAGGGATGCTGGAGGGTTATACGGATGTACATCGATGCTATTCGATTCAGGTAGTTCTTGGTTAGGCTGCTTCACATTTGTCAAACTTCGTAACAAAGCAGCAGCAACAAGAGCTGCATTATTACCAGCAGGACTCGCTTGAATACTGTTATGCAATGTAGCAGGCAGAATTGTTGATACAGAAGTTGGCAAGCTTGTATTAGAGGTGAGTGTTGTTTCAGATGGATGTTGTCCAGAAACACTACATGTTACAGGAGAATTGAGTCCCAAGGTGCCAATCAGAGCCAAAGTAGGTCCCACTGAAAACGCGGATTGCAGCGACTGCTGTTTCTGTATCTGAGCTTGAGTACCCTGCTGCTGTGTAACTAAAGAGTGAAGGAGTGCGACGGGATTACCCGATGTCACCGAAAATGACGGAGCATTATTGACTGGAGCAAAATTACTTATAACTTGGTGAGAACCAGGGTCTGCCATAGTTGTGGCACAGCGTAGCCAATTTAGTGTGTTAGTCAAGCCTGTTGAAGAACCAGTATTTGGATTGGTTGGTAAAGCAACACTAACAGTTGTCAGGGAATTATTTATAGATGAAGGCTGAAGGACACTATTTACCAAAGCAGGGGAAAGGATATTTTGTGGTGAGTTAGCAGATGCTATTGGTATTGTGCCTAGAATTTCTCCAGATGGTCCTGTTAAGGCTATTGAAGGAGCAGTCAATGTATGCATGTTGGTGGAGAGATTAGGTCCGTTACTAACCACCGAATTACTACTTGAAAATGCTAGTGAGGAGTTGGAAATTGCTGCAGCAACTGCAGCTGCCAAATTAGGATTCAACATCAAATTTTGATTTGTGCAAGCAATAGAACTAATGCACTGTGTCATTTGCTGTGAAAATCCAGAATGATTAACAGTTTCTGACCCACTAATAGATGCAGGTGTGCCAATATTATTGGTGAAGAGTAACTTCGACGGTATGTTTGCATCATTTCCAGAAATAAGCGTTTTCCCAAGGAGAGTATTAATTGGAAGGATGCCACACAAATCCCCTAGATCTCCCAAACCTAAGCTTTTTGCAGAAATGGCATACTTTGTTCCAGAACTTAGTTGGCTATTCACAAGAGCTGTGATGTCAGGGGAGTTTGCTTGTGGACTTAAGTATTTATTAATAGTAGCATACTGCATAGGCACAAAAGACACGCTTGAAACAGTCGGAGAAGTGGAAAATGCTGGTATGGAAGGGGCTGCCTCAGGTAGACGATTACTTAAGGCAGTAGAAATCAAATTTACATCAGAATTTGAGGCTGTAACAGTCGGAATTTCTTGCATGCAAGTATCAGAAACAGATTGGACGTGTGATTCTATTCGAGGAACTTCAGTAGCAGTTTGATCGTCTGGGATTTTGGAGGTGTGCACTAGATCTTCTGCATCAGTGCTGGCATCTTCTACATCACTGTCTCCGACGTGTGAGTCGCAGTCAAATACTTGACGCTTAGGTTTTCGGCACTTCCTTCGGCAACGACGGTGGGCATCACCATCTGTGTCAAATTCACCTGTCTGAGCGTTTTCAGAAGTGTGTTCAGACAAGCTCTGTTCAGATCTATCATCTGGTTTTCCAGCTCTATTTATCTGAATAACTGATGGTGGTAACAGAGGAGGAGAAGCACCAGGAGAGTGAGCCGAGCTATGCTGTTCTGTATCCATATTCTCTGAATAATTTTGGGTTGATCTTTTGTCGTCGGCTTCACAAGAATTTATAGTAGGGCATGGTCTGGAGTAGTCTGTATGCTGTTTGGAGGTTTCGGAATTAGCCTCGTTAGCAGCGGAGAAAGAAGAATCAATCTTGATAAATCTCTCACAACCATTGTCTGAAGTGTAGGAAAGTATTCCTAAAACATGAAGTCTTTTGGAATATGGGATGTTTTGTCGTATAAGATCTGTGAGTTGTTTTACAAGCTCTTGATCATCTGGATGTGAATTGGAATAGTTTTGGTTTGAAAATGCAATCGACATCTGTTATGAAAAATTAAAAACTTAATACTAAACACTCACTTTCAGAACTTGACCATAAGAAGAACTGTAACAGACGAATACTGCCAGCAGTTTTGAAACGCCGCCATTCTTAAGGTCAACGGAAGCAATGCTAAGTAGCTTGTCGGAATGATTTGTGAAGTATGTCACACTGCTTCTTGGAAACTATCCCGTTGCGCAAAAAGCCATACTTTTCCCATAAAATATAACATGAAGTCAGATTCCTTTTCAAAAATAAGCATGTCCATAAAAACTATGATATCCAAAACCCTAAAAATACTTTACATGGTGTAGCCTAACTAGCCTTCTTCCAAAAGCTCATTTTACAATCATATACAAAGGAATAACTCCCTTCACTACTTTGCTGTCCCGTTGATAAGAAAAGAAAGTGGTCCTATAGAAAGTAGGTACCGGAAAACAACAAAAATTCAGTGTACACTTTAGGTATGTCAGAAACATTTATTAGAAAATAAACGCTCAACAGCAAGTGGAATCACTCACCTTTGACGGACAACCAGCAAAAAGCTGTGGGGTTACTAGATCTCTTGATGGGGGACTGCTCCAACACTTTCTAGATTACTGTGATGGTAGGGCCAAAAAGGCTATAGAAGAATGTATTATTCTTCCACCACCGCTTGGTAATCGTAGGGCGTAGTGTTTTCAAGAACCCGTGAGGTTAGTCGGTTATTACCACAAGATTTGAGGGATCGTTCTAACACAGAGCACAATGATGCCTTGGTGATGTCTCGGTTAGCTATACAAACGGAAAATTGCTGCGCACCTTTAGGACAAGTGAACTATTTCGCTGACCCTAACTCTCTCAGAACTTTGGTAAGCATAGTGAAAAAATGCTGCTGCATGTAAAATGGGCAGGAACAGTCGAAGAATCAATGGAGAATGGTCGGGAACCCATATTTGCAGAGCTGGCGCAGTTTGTGCCAGCTAGTGCGGGTGTTCTGCTAGGTAGGCTTGGCAATCAGCATTAAGCAGTCAGTGACCACGTAGTGAGACGGGCTGTTCTGGACAGCATTTGGTGTCTGGCGGGGTAGATATGAGTCGCTGATGCGCAGTTTGTGGGGTAAGCCGGTAGAGCTACGAAATGTTCCACATACATGGTGTTGGCGCAAATGAGAGGTCTTAAAAAGTTCAAGAGACAGGCCCTTTCTTTTCTTCGCTTAAAAGGGCCAAAGATCTTTGGATTCTGAGACTCTTTTCACTAGCAGTTTAAAAGGTTGCAAAGCACCCAACCACCTACTGCTACATAAACATAGGAAGACCCTGTGTGCTGCGAATTAACAACTAGGGGGAAATGTTGTAGATGTACGGGGTAGCCCAGAGAAGGTGTGTATTTGGGCCTAGTCCTTGTATGCCCAAAATGCGGCAATAAAGGGGTTAGCGGATGCAACTCTGATCGAGATAAACGCTTGTGATTTCCAAAATTGCCATCAGAAGGCTTGATGGTTACCATCGGAATCGCAAGCGGAAGAAAGGTGGTGGGCTTTGTCAGCAGACCCTCCAAGTTCGTTTATTGGACGAAAACGTACGCACATTCATATGTCAAGGAGTTGCAGTGAAGGATCTTCCGGTGCACAGACCAAGAAGGTCGACGAAAGTGATAAAAACGGCCTCTTCCTACCATACCTTGGACACAGCTAGAGTACAGTGACGTTTTGTTGCTTATCGGATGTAGCGTGCCTGAAGTGCACCGAGGTTTAAACCAAAGGTCCGAGGAAAAAAATCCTCGTGACAAAAGGACTTAGCCAGGCTGGGCTCCTTTCGGACCACTGGGCTGCGGCAAGTATCACGGAAGAGTTGTGAACTATATCTTGTCAAGTAGCTACATCATAGACCAGTCGAAGGGGTACATAACTGTGAGCTTGCTGACCTTTATTGCTCTCATAAACCTTCTCCGATGCCCGACTGGAAATTGGTTGACATAGCCCAGGATGGCACACACATTGATAACGGTCATTTCGCTGTCTGTTTACACCGGAGGGCAGGGATGTCCGTGGTCGCTGATAGCTGTGAGTTAGCTGGCTGGAGACTGGAAAGTTTGAAATATAAGCTGATGTGCCATGAAGACCTAAGCAACAGTCGCATTATGGCTATGTGGCAAACTGTTAACTGGGGATACGCAGTGGTAGCTCTGCCGTTGCAACTTGACCCCGGCTATCCACCATGATTATGCTCGCCACGTCACACGGTGCTGAACCCCAAGAAGCAAGTAAAGTGAAGGTAGTTTAGGGTTGGGCCGTTAAGACTGCCGGCGAATGCTTGAACAACTTACCGTATCAAGGCCAAGATGCAATTGCAGAATAGTTGGTTAGATGTTACGTTTTCTTTGAGAACTGGTTGTTCTATATGCGGATGTGGAAAAAATGTTTATGCAAATGAAAGTATAGGAGGCCGTCTGTGGTGTATCGGGCTTCCTTTGGTATTATTATTATTTGTCCCTTGGGTTCCTAATAGAACATAGGACTTCATTAGCACGTCTCCAGTGCACTTTATTCTCTGAAATTTTTTGAATCCGGTCCCACGATAGCCAAGAAGCCCTCATTTCTTCCGCATACGATCTCCTCCATGTCACCCTCAGCTGGGATGCCCAACTCGTCGCTTCCCATGCACGTTCCACTCAAAGCCTGGTGCGTGATGTCCCCAGCCGGCCTTCTCAGTGTATGCCTGATCCAATCTATCTCCACTTCCTTCCAGTGCATATTTGTTGAGCGATAGGTTCTTGGTTGGTCCGTCACCAGCCATAGATCCTTGTTACTCATTCTTTCTGGCCATCTGATCTTCAGTAGTGGACGTAGACAGTTGTTGACGAATGTCTGTGGTTTGTTGGAAATCACTTTCGTAACCCTCCAGGTCTCTGAGCCATACAGAAACACTCATCTGACTGAATTTGTGTTGAAAACCTGGATCTTGTTCACGCTTTGTGCTGAGTGCAGACCTCCACACTGGTTTCAGGCTGATGAACGCCTGTCTTGCTATCTTTCCTATGCTGGCTGCGTTGACGTGGTCGCCTGTGTCGCCCGTAGTTGAAACAGTGCTGCGTAGATAGGTGAAGGAGGTTACTTCCTTTAAGTTTCTCGCGTTGATGGTGATTGGAGCTTGTTGTTGTTGTTGTTGGTTGTGGTGGTGGTGTTGGTTGGGTATCTTCATCACCTCTGTCTTCTCTACATCCACTTGAAGTCCCGTCTTCGCTGCCTCTTCTGCCAACTTATTAGTTTTCACCTATACGTCTTCAATTTTTTGTGACAGACACAAGTCATCGGCGAAATCTAAATCTTCTAGGTTCTTTTCATCGATCCAGCGCACGCCCATCTTCTCGCTCTTCACTGTTTGTTGCATGATCCAGTTCGGTCCACTACAATCAGGAATATCATGGGTGAAGGTGGACAGCCTTGTTTCGCTCCTGTCTTCATTTCAAGGGCATTACTGAGCCTCCCATTGTGAATTACTTGGCATGTGGAGTCTTCATATAGTTGTTGAATGAGATTGATAAAGGTTTGTCGTATCCAGTAGTGTTAAAGTAACTGCCAAATTACTTCTAGGTCAACGCCGTCAAAGGCCTTCTCAAAGTCGATGAAGTTGAGGTAGAGTTGAGTTGACTGCCATTCTATACCCTGTTCTATGACGATGCGTAGCTTTGCATTTTGGTCCGCACATGATTTATACTTTCTGAATGAAACCGGCCTGTTCCAGTCGTATTTTGAATCCAGTGCATCCTCTAGTCTCTCCACGATGATGCGGCTTAACATTTTGCTTTCTCTGGGTGAACAGGAGTGGAGTATGATTCCGCACCAGTTCTTGCAAAGACATAGGTCGCCCTTCTTCGGGAGTTTGACAAGGTAACCCTTCTTCCAATCAATGGGCAGGTACCTTCCCTTCCTTCCAGACCTTCCGCAATAGCGGTGTGAGCATGTCCGATGTTGTCCCTGTGTCTGTTCTCAGTACTTCTGGCTGGGTCCCATCTTGTCCTGCTGCTTTCCCGCATTTTGGTAGCTCTATGGCACTCAGGGCTTCCATTTTTGTAGTTCTATGACTGCGGGTGGTATTTCTGGAGGAAGTGCAGGTGGTGTTCAGTTTTTTTGAAGCGGTCAGCCCATTGTTTCCCTGGTTTTTCTTCTTTGGCGATCATATTTCCTTCATCATCTTCAACTGGTTTCCTCTGTGTTGACCTCTTTCCAGATAGTAGCCTGGTTATTTGATACAGTGTTATCAGGTCCCTGTCCCTCCTACCTACAGCCCGTTCTGCTTCACTTGCCAATGTGTCGTAGAAGCGTCCTTCGTCTTACCATGCACTCTTCACGTCTTCCTCCAGTGTGGTGTTTTATACGTTGTACTCAGTTCATCCTCTCTTTGAGCATCCTTGCACTCGTTCATCTCGCGCTTCACCATCCTCATTCCCTCTACCAGCTTCATGTGTCCGTCGAGATCTATTCCTTATCTTCTTTCTTCTTCCTTCCTAATACGCTCGGTTATGCAGGTTTCTTTCCACATAGCTTTCAAACGGTTCCAGTACTCATCCGGACAGGTTCCTTCGGTGATGTTGCTCGATATCTCCCATTTTGTCTTGAAGGCTACCGTGAAGATTTTCTGTGTAGTTTCATCCTTCAGTTTCCGTGTATTGAACTTGAACTGTGGCCTTTCACCAACTTCCTTGAAGGCTGTTAACTTCATTTGGAGGATTCCTTGCAGTAAACAGTGGTCTGAACCTACATCTGCTCTTCTTCTTGACCTTGTGTCAAGTAGACTGCGCCTTCATTTTCTTCAGATTGAGATAAAGTCGATTTGATTTTTTAGTGTGCCCTGGTGTCTGGTGAAATCCATATCGCTTTGTGGATATCCTCGTGCTTGAACACACTGCCTCCAACCACCGAATCGTTGAATGCGCAGAATTCTGCAAACAACTCTCCATTCTCGCTAATCACCTTACCGAGCGTTTCTCTACCCATGGTTAGTTCTCTTCCTGTGTTTTCCCCTCCCAGTTTGGCATTCATGTCGCCCATTAGAAGCTTGATATCGTCAACTGAGGTCTTGCCCAGTGTTGATTGAAGTTGTCTGTAGAATTCCTCCTCCTTCTCTTCATCTGCATTATTTGTAAGCGTGTA